CAAAAATACGAGATAACTACATAATACACATTTTGTAAGAACACATAGAAACAAAAAGATACACATTTCACTCAGAATGTTTGCCTCTGGGGATGAGGTAATGAGAGTGAAGAACAATAAGGGAGTACAGTAGAGTACAGGAAGGTAGAGTAAAGTGAGCAAAAGAGAGTTCAGTGTAAAATATAGTATAAAGTGCAAATTAAGGGGAAAGTGAGGGGAGAAGAGTGGAAGGGAGAACAGAATAGCCTAGAGGAGAGAAGCAGAGAGAAGAGTGTAAAGAAGAAGGAATTGAAAGGAAAGAGAAAAAATGAAAAGGAGACAGGAAAGGAGAGGAGATGAGGGGAAGAAAGGGAGAAAAGGGAGAGGAAGGGAAAGGAGTGCAAGAGATGGAAAAGGAAGGGAAGAGAAGAGGAGAAGAAAGGAGAAGAGGGGAGGAAAGCAGGAAGTTGAGAGAATACCCTTTTCCGGAATAATGTTGCTAATGCCTTAGGAATTGAGGAATCTAATTAACCTAGTCTTTGTCACCTGGAATCTAAAATATAACTAAAACGTAATTTCATATATTTAATTAAATAATGATTGCAAATGTGTATAGATCATAACAAATTGGTACAAAGTTATTTGTTTTAACGTACGTTCTAAGGTTCAAATGAGGTATTCTCTGGTTTCTTTTATATTTGGACATAAAAGTATGTCCTCCACAGTCTATTAACATTGGGGAATATCTTCCCCTTTAGAAACTGTATGAAAAACTTTGACTAAACAACACTTTTCATACAAGCCTTTGGTAGAAAAGCACAAATAAACTTAACTTGCTGTTTTTTTGAAAGGCAATTAATTAAAGAAAATGTACAATGAGAAATGATTCTTATGGTAACTGTTTATTAATGTGTTCCATTATAATATCTACCTAGTAATGTATTCTATGGCTTTTTTGCATATTTCATGCATACAATGATCTCTATATGTGTTTACTTTCTTTCATGTATGTTCTGGGAGGGCATCCATATTTTTTAGCATGCATGAAATGCAAAGGAGAAAAATAACAACAAAATACCTTTGTCTTTTATTAAAACCATGCTCTATATTTTACCTTAAATTGTGTAGCTATCTATACATAGACTGTAAATTTATATATAGGTTTTATCTATAAATGAATATGTTACTTTAAAGTAGTCATCATGGGCAAAGTTTCTACTTGTTCAAATAACCACACTATTGGCTAATTTTTGATAACCCTCTTTTGAAATTGTCTAAAAAATGTTTTATGTACTCTTTCTCCATATATATTTTCTGTATTACTTTATTTTTCCATATCTTGTTTAGTAAAAGTAAAATGTATACATATTGCACTGATTGAATACTTTCCATTTCACAGAATGAATGATTTTCACCTGTTCTCCAAATTAAATTCACTCATATATAATGAAAATGTAATACTATTGACACTAAATCTGAAGATTATCCGACAGGCAAAAAAAATAAGCAAACCAACAAAAGTCCATGATCTCCTACAACAAGTATCTGCATGATTCCTTACTGTTTATTTCTCTATAAATACCTGAATAATAGTGCATTAGCAAACAAAATAAAAAAAACAGTGATACTCTCTTAAAATCACACATAGTCATGATTTGTAAAACTGTGTAAAAATTTAGTTGTCACTTTAGTTCATCTACAAATATTTTTTGGCCAAATTATACCAAAAATAATGGTGTTAGGATTGTAACTTAAGAAAAATAGGATTTTTGAGAAAAAGGCTTAAAATGTCTCTAAAAAGTCTAGAGTCTAATGTTTTCAAGTCTTAAAATACATAAATGGTTAAAATTAACTTTTTTGCCTGTTTCCAATTAAATCATTACATTACAGTAGAGGAATATATAGAAGTTAGTTTTTTAACCTAAACAGAGGAATTGGAGATAGTTTTAGAAATCATGTTTCCATAAATCAGTTTTGAATTACAGGCTGCTTGCATCATCAAGACTTGAATTTGTTGTCTGTCCTACTACTCTTGATTTTTTTTTTTTTTTACTCTAAATAAGAAAGGCACTAGGAGATTCTTAAAGATCATTTTCTCTGCTGCTATCCCTAGGCAAGAAGGAGGAATTAGCCTTGTAACCAGATCCTTTTAGTCTCTGCATTTAATTTTAAGCAAGAAACCAGGAGACTAAAGATGTAAGACTGACATAGAACAGCAGAGGGCAGTATTTACTCATGACTGAACCCTCTCTGGGCGCAGAAAGTTATACGTTTGGAGGGATCCTTGTGGCAGAAATGTGTGACATATGCCCTGTATTTGCATTGTTTGGCTTGAATTCTTATTTTCTAAGTTGGTTCCCTTAAAGGGGAAAAATATCGATCTGATTCCTAGTAACTTTTTTCTTCTTTTAAAGAAACGATGCATGCCACCACAAAAATTAGCTGCAGTGAATAGTGGGTGAGTTGATCTGAGTGCATTAAGTGGCATGTGGGTATTTTTAAAAACTTAAGCTTAAATATTATTTATTTATTTCTACTTTCTGGTATCTATTTCTCCCAGACTGAAAAGCAAAATAAAACTTTATTAGAAATCCTTTGGCTAAAAAATGTGGAGGTGGAAATACTCCATCAGGGATCAAAATTCCCAACTAACTTTGCAACAGGAAAATACCTCCCCCTTTTCAAAGGGCTGCCATTATTGCTGTTGTTGAAACCCTAAGGTCTGGGCTACTGGCACCTGGAATCCAGTTGGGGAAAGAAAACAGAACACTGAGTTCCCCTGGCCTTTCCTATAGGAGGAAGTCCAAAGTGCCTTTGGTAGTTGGTACCCAGGCCTCTTGCCCCCTAGTCACCTGAAAGGTGGGGGAGAGGGGCAAGTGAGTGAAGATTTAGAGTTAACTCACTCTAGACAGCAGGGAGCCCACTGTGTAGAAAAAGGAGGAAAGGGGAGGATTTGGTTTGAATTCTGTGCTGTGGGATCACATTGTATCGCAGCTCTCTGCCTTGCATAAAGAGAGAAGGGGCAGGAAATGGTTAAAGCAAATCTGCACTGTGCATTCCCAGACAGGCTTTGCTTAATCCTTCCTCCCCGCTTTAACAGACCCTCACCCCCCGCCTTTCTTTTATTTCTCTCGACCCCCTTACCCCTGAGTTATTACTAGCATAACAACCTAACGGTCTTCCCCCAGACCCTGCCACTAAAGTTATTTATCTGCAAACCTGACCCCACCCCCATCTATTCTGCGGCAGCCTTTTGCTGTTATTGCTCTGACGCCGGCCAAGATTTGGCCGTAAAGGAAAAAAAAGAAAAGAAAAGAAAAGAAAAAAAAAAATCACCCCCCTTCTTAGCGCCTCCGCCTCGCTTTGCTCCCACACCGGACCGCCTACAGCCGTCCGGGAGGGTGAAGTGATTAGCATCCCGAGTAGCCAGTCGGAGGCCAGGCAAGGCGGAGGGCGCTCGCGGTAGGAGTGCCGGGCGGGGCTGCTTCAGCTCCGGCCCAATGGGGCTGGGACGAGGGAGGGGCAGAAGGTGACAGGACCGGGAGCTAAGGGGAGTCCGGGCGAACTAAAGTGCGGGGATCAATGAGTGGCGAGCAAAGTTTCTGAGTGCTGCTCCAGCTCCTGGTCTTCCCTCCCCCTCTGTTTGTGTTTCGGCGACGCGCTGTGTGTGTGTGTGTGTGTGTGTGTGTGTGTGTGTGTGTGTGAGTGTGAGTGAGAGCATGCCTGTGCGACTGGGAAGGGGCGGGGAGAGTGTGAGGGACCAGGCGGGAGGTGGAGAGGGGCTCGCAGAGCCCTAGCTCCACCGCGGTCCAACCTTCGGCCCCGGCCGGCGAAAGGGAGAGCACTGACAGGCGCCGTCCGGAGCTGCGGAGGGCGTCACTACAGTCCAGCGCCGACTTCGCCGCCTCCACTGCCAACGGTGAAGGAGAGGGAGGCACCGACCACCCCCCGCCCCAAACAAAAAGCCTTGTGGATTACAAAGTGAAACTGACACGGGACAATAAAAGCAGAGATAGCGAGGGCAGCGGCGAGGCGCACTAGAGTGGGCTTCCGACTGGGGCCGCCGGAGAACGACCCCCCTGGCATGGTGAGGGGAGGGCGACTCGGGGACCGCACGCTGTTTCTGCCCGGCCCCTGCAAGGCCAAGAAGAAAGGGGGAACTGCGTTCGACTTGGATGTACAAATAATGGGTCGGCAGGCGCCCCGGCAGAGGTGAAAAATGCCGAGCAACCCTGGCTGTTGTTTGTGCCGGACCACTGGCTTGAAGCCGCAACAGGGACGGCGGCGGCGGCGGCGGCTGCTGGAGGGGAAGGGGCAGAGCTGAGCGCTCCCGGGTACGGGAGCCAGAGCGCGAACGCTAGCGCTTGGAACGCAGTTCCCGAACTGCCTGCGCGCAGACGCCGCCGCCTGGGCCTCAGCGGCCACTGCCGGAGCCCTGTTGGAGGGGTCTTGCAGCTTGGTTTGTGAGGAGTGGGGACTCCAGGAATTCCATCGCCTCCAGCTTTGGAGAAAGGAATTCGATTCTCCCGGTTCCCCACCAACCCTTCCCCGGTGCGCAGTTGTGCTTGGACGTTTATTCCTCCCTCTTCACGTTCTTCGCTGCGGGTAAGTTCTAAAGTTTCTGAAGACTGTTCTTTGCAATGATTCCTCATATACCTTAGATACAGGCAACTTCTCCCAACTCTCATCCACCTGGGTGAAAACGCTCAAACTATCTGGATTCAAAAACAAAGTAAAGGGGGAATATATAAGAGGCTTGAGAAACTTTTCTGGGAACTCAGCTCACTGGGAGTGTCCCGCGGAATGCCCGGCCGCTTTTCGCCACAGCATCTCTCTTGCACTCCGCGTCCAACTGGCTACCTAGAGTCTTTTGCTGATGCTACTTGCTTTTGCTGGATTGGAGGTTCTTTGAAATAGCAGAGAGAGGTCTCAGACCAAGCCGTCGGCTGAATCTTTGCTGGCGCTCCTCAATCCCTGTAAATATCATTGCGTTTGCTTCACCCTTCCTTCTCTTTATCACATCGTTTTAGGGAGCCAGGACCATGGACTTAGCACCAGACAGGGCTACTGGCCGCCCGTGGCTCCCGTTGCACACTCTATCAGTATCTCAGCTCCTTCGAGTGTTTTGGCTACTGTCTTTGCTTCCGGGGCAGGCCTGGGTCCACGGGGCCGAGCAGCGCCAGGTGTTCCAAGTGCTGGAAGAGCAACCTCCAGGCACTCTGGTAGGCACCATCCAGACGCGCCCCGGCTTCACCTACAGGCTCAGCGAAAGCCACGCCCTGTTTGCCATAAACAGTAGCACCGGAGCCCTGTACACCACGTCCACCATCGACCGCGAGAGCCTGCCCAGCGACGTGATCAACCTGGTGGTCCTTTCCAGCGCGCCCACCTACCCCACCGAAGTGCGAGTGCTGGTGCGGGACCTTAATGACAACGCCCCCGTTTTCCCGGACCCCTCTATCGTGGTCACTTTCAAGGAAGACAGTAGCAGCGGGCGCCAAGTCATCTTAGACACCGCCACCGACTCGGACATCGGCTCAAACGGTGTGGACCACCGCTCCTACCGCATCATCCGCGGCAACGAGGCGGGCCGCTTCCGTCTGGACATCACCCTGAACCCGAGCGGCGAGGGAGCGTTCCTACATCTGGTGTCCAAGGGCGGGCTGGACCGCGAGGTCACGCCGCAGTACCAGCTCCTGGTTGAGGTGGAGGACAAGGGTGAGCCTAAACGGCGGGGCTACCTTCAGGTAAACGTGACTGTGCAAGACATTAATGACAACCCCCCGGTTTTTGGCAGTTCTCACTACCAGGCGGGGGTGCCTGAGGACGCGGTTGTGGGCTCCAGCGTCCTCCAGGTGGCGGCGGCGGACGCGGACGAGGGCACCAACGCGGACATCCGCTATCGCCTGCAGGACGAGGGGACCCCCTTCCAAATGGACCCTGAGACGGGGCTTATCACGGTACGGGAGCCCCTGGACTTCGAAGCCCGGCGCCAGTACTCGCTTACGGTGCAAGCGATGGACAGAGGCGTGCCTTCCCTCACGGGGCGCGCCGAGGCGCTGATTCAGCTGCTGGACGTGAATGACAATGACCCGGTAGTGAAGTTCCGCTACTTCCCTGCAACCTCGCGCTACGCCTCGGTAGATGAGAACGCTCAAGTGGGCACCGTGGTGGCTCTGCTCACCGTGACCGACGCAGATTCTTCCGCGGCCAACGGGAACATCTCCGTGCAGATTCTCGGGGGCAATGAGCAGCGCCACTTTGAAGTGCAAAGCAGCAAAGTGCCGAACCTGAGCCTAATCAAGGTGGCTAGCGCCTTGGACCGGGAGCGCATCCCTTCCTACAACCTCACAGTTTCCGTCTCTGATAACTATGGGGCGCCCCCTGGCGCAGCAGTCCAGGCGCGCTCTTCTGTGGCAAGCCTGGTGATTTTTGTTAATGACATCAATGACCATCCTCCTGTCTTTTCACAGCAAGTGTACAGAGTGAACCTGAGCGAGGAGGCGCCTCCGGGAAGCTATGTGAGTGGGATATCTGCCACTGATGGCGACTCTGGTCTCAATGCTAATCTGCGTTACAGCATTGTCTCTGGCAATGGACTGGGATGGTTCCATATCAGTGAACATAGTGGCCTCGTGACCACTGGAGCCGCTGGGGGCCTGGACCGTGAACTTGCTTCCCAGATTGTACTGAATATTAGTGCCCGGGACCAGGGAGTTCACCCCAAGGTGTCCTATGCCCAGCTCGTAGTAACTCTCCTAGACGTGAATGATGAAAAGCCAGTATTTAGCCAGCCAGAAGGGTATGATGTGTCTGTGGTTGAGAATGCCCCAACAGGGACAGAACTGCTGATGCTCAGGGCAACTGACGGGGACCTGGGTGACAACGGAACAGTGCGCTTTTCCTTACAAGAGGCAGAGACTGACCGGAGGTCCTTCCGTCTGGATCCTGTGTCTGGGAGGTTGAGTACTATTTCCTCCTTGGACAGAGAAGATCAAGCCTTCTACTCCCTGTTGGTTCTGGCCACAGATCTGGGCTCCCCTCCTCAGTCATCAATGACTCGCATAAATGTGAGTCTTCTGGATATAAATGATAACAGCCCTGTGTTCTACCCGGTCCAATACTTCGCTCATATTAAGGAGAATGAGCCTGGAGGTAGCTACATCACCACTGTGTCTGCCACTGACCCAGACTTGGGTAGCAATGGTACTGTCAAATATAGTATATCTGCTGGGGACAGGTCTCGGTTTCAGGTCAATGCTCAGAGTGGGGTTATTTCTACAAGAATGGCCCTAGACAGAGAAGAAAAAACAGCTTATCAGTTGCAAATAGTAGCTACTGATGGTGGCAATTTACAATCTCCCAACCAGGCAATAGTAACCATCACTGTATTGGACACTCAAGACAACCCACCTGTATTCAGTCAGGTTGCCTACAGCTTTGTGGTTTTTGAGAACGTGGCGCTGGGATATCATGTGGGTAGTGTGTCTGCATCCACCATGGATCTCAATTGCAACATCAGTTATCTCATTACTACTGGGGATCAGAAAGGTATGTTTGCTATCAACCAGGTCACTGGGCAGCTTACCACAGCAAATGTGATTGATAGAGAAGAGCAATCGTTTTATCAGCTGAAGGTAGTGGCCAGTGGGGGCACAGTGACTGGTGACACTATGGTTAACATAACAGTTAAGGATTTGAATGACAACTCTCCCCATTTCCTTCAGGCAATAGAGAGTGTAAATGTGGTGGAGAATTGGCAGGCAGGTCACAGCATTTTCCAGGCCAAAGCTGTGGACCCTGATGAAGGTGTCAATGGCATAGTACTCTATAGTCTGAAGCAAAACCCCAAGAACCTATTTGCTGTCAATGAAAAGAATGGCACTATTAGTCTGCTTGGGCCTCTGGATGTTCAGGCTGGCTCCTACCAAATAGAGATATTGGCATCTGATATGGGTGTTCCACAGCTCTCCTCTAGTGTCATCCTAACAGTTTATGTCCATGATGTAAATGACAATTCACCAGTGTTTGACCAACTTTCTTATGAGGTCACCCTTTCTGAGTCAGAACCTGTGAATTCTCGATTTTTTAAAGTACAAGCTTCTGATAAGGATTCAGGAGCAAATGGTGAAATTGCATACACCATTGCTGAAGGAAATACAGGGGATGCTTTTGGCATATTCCCAGATGGTCAATTGTATATAAAAAGTGAACTTGACCGTGAACTTCAAGACAGATATGTTTTAATGGTTGTTGCTTCTGACAGAGCAGTGGAACCCCTTAGTGCTACTGTGAATGTTACTGTAATTTTGGAAGATGTAAATGATAACAGACCTCTTTTTAACAGTACCAATTACACATTTTACTTCGAAGAAGAGCAAAGGGCTGGGTCGTTTGTGGGCAAAGTAAGTGCTGTAGATAAAGACTTTGGGCCAAATGGAGAAGTAAGGTATTCTTTTGAAATGGTGCAGCCAGATTTTGAGTTGCATACTATCAGTGGGGAAATTACAAATACTTACCAGTTTGACAGGGAGTCTCTTATGAGGCGGAGAGGGACTGCAGTGTTTAGCTTTACAGTCATAGCAACAGATCAGGGGCTCCCTCAGCCTCTCAAGGATCAGGCCACTGTACATGTTTACATGAAGGATATAAATGATAATGCTCCCAAATTTTTAAAAGACTTTTACCAAGCTACAATATCAGAGTCAGCAGCCAATCTGACACAAGTTTTAAGAGTATCTGCCTCAGATGTTGATGAAGGTAATAATGGACTTATTCACTATTCTATAATAAAAGGAAATGAAGAAAGACAGTTTGCTATAGACATTACCTCTGGTCAGGTAGCACTAATTGGCAAATTAGACTATGAAGCAACACCTGCCTATTCCCTTGTAATTCAAGCAGTGGATTCAGGGACAATCCCCCTCAATTCAACGTGTACTTTAAATATTGATATTTTAGATGAAAATGACAATACCCCTTCTTTCCCTAAATCAACACTCTTTGTTGATGTTTTGGAAAACATGAGAATTGGTGAACTCGTGTCCTCTGTTACTGCAACTGATTCCGATTCAGGTGACAATGCTGATTTATATTACAGTATTACTGGGACTAACAACCACGGAACTTTTAGCATTAGCCCAAACACTGGGAGTATTTTTCTTGCCAAAAAATTGGACTTTGAAACACAATCTTTGTATAAATTAAATATAACAGCAAAAGACCAAGGAAGACCTCCTCGTTCATCTACAATGTCAGTGGTTATTCACGTGAGGGACTTTAATGACAACCCTCCTAGCTTTCCTCCTGGAGATATTTTCAAATCTATTGTTGAGAACATTCCCATTGGTACATCTGTCATTTCAGTGACTGCACATGACCCTGATGCAGACATTAATGGGCAACTATCCTACACAATCATTCAACAGATGCCAAGAGGCAACCATTTTACCATAGATGAAGTCAAAGGGACTATATATACTAATGCTGAAATAGATCGGGAATTTGCTAATCTCTTTGAGTTAACTATAAAAGCCAATGATCAAGCTGTGCCAATAGAAACTAGACGGTATGCTTTGAAGAACGTGACCATTTTGGTTACAGACCTCAATGACAATGTCCCAATGTTTATATCACAAAACGCCCTTGCTGCAGACCCATCAGCTGTGATTGGTTCTGTTCTGACAACAATTATGGCTGCTGACCCAGATGAAGGTGCTAATGGAGAAGTAGAGTATGAGATCATCAATGGGGACACAGACACCTTCATTGTTGATCGTTATAGTGGAGACTTGAGAGTGGCTTCAGCGCTGGTTCCTTCACAGTTGATCTACAATCTCATAGTTTCAGCAACAGACCTTGGGCCTGAAAGGAGGAAGTCAACCACTGAATTGACCATCATTCTTCAGGGCCTTGATGGACCTGTTTTTACTCAACCCAAATATATAACTATTTTGAAGGAAGGAGAACCCATTGGCACAAATGTGATATCAATAGAAGCAGCTAGCCCCAGAGGATCTGAGGCCCCAGTGGAGTATTACATTGTTTCAGTTCGTTGTGAAGAAAAAACTGTTGGACGCCTCTTTACTATTGGACGACATACTGGTATAATTCAGACTGCAGCCATTCTGGACCGGGAGCAAGGAGCATGTCTTTACCTGGTGGATGTTTATGCCATAGAAAAATCAACTGCTTTTCCCAGAACACAGAGAGCAGAGGTAATGATTTTGTAGTCATTTATTATTTGTTGATGTGCTTTTTAGAAAGATCATTTTCTTTCTATTTACTCTCTATAATTGTTTACCTTCATTGTTTATTGTTAAATTTATGAACAGGAACACCTAAAAATGTTCTGTCACAAAGACTAACAGAGAATTACATAAATTTTAGTTTTAATCTTGGTTGCAACTAAATAATAAACTTTCTTTTCCCTATATATTTTTTTATAGCAATCAAATATATAAGGCTAAGGAGAAATATTTAGCCATTTCAGAGTGGAAAAAATCCATTTATCTAAGCTAAATTGCTGAGGTAATTTAAATACCACTCAGTAAGGAGGTCTACTAGAAGATGGGCACTTTCAGAATTAAGAAGACCTATTCCAAAATGAAGAGCTTTGGTAGGAATCAGCATTGTACCATAGCTCTTCAGGAAGAGTGGCCATGGAGGATGGGCTGACAGTGTACACCAGGACAGTATTAACTTTCACATCCTCAGCAGTCTTGGCAGTTTCTTTATAGACAGTGACTAATTTTAATGTGCTGAGCCAAGTTTTGAAAGATTCCTGATTTCATCTGCCTTAACATTTTAGACACTGTCTTCTGACTTAGGATAATCCTTCCTTTTCCCTCTTAAACTAGGGCATGCAGTGTGCTGTGAATAATCAGAGACTAGGGACTGTTTCTTGACAATACTGAGTTCAATGCCATGGGATAGATACATGTTGTTCTGTATGTTGGTTGGTAAGAAATTAGTGTTTGATAGCATAAGCCAAAAGAATTCCAAGCTCTGCCTTCCCTGGAGTGTATTTTAGGCTACTACCTCCTTGTATCATTGATTTGCTTTTTAATTGAACTACTTTCAATGTTATTTTGATGATCAACTAGAAATGATATAGCTATACTCCAGAAAACTCTTGTTTGGTGTTTCTAAGTTCATTCTTTTCCTCCCCAGGCCCCTCAAAGACATTCTAGTGTCACTCAGCCAAAAACACAAACATCAAATGTGGTTTGTGATACTTGGCAGTGACCCAAGCACAACATGCTAGTGAAATTGAGGCTCATGTGCTTGTTTTCTTGCTGCTTTTCTTTTTTTGGGGGAGGAGGTGGGGATTTTCTTTATTTTAAATGATAATTTATTATTATTATTATATAGTTTTGTATCCTCTGTGATTTTTTCTCATAATAGTTGGTTATGTCTATCTATGGATGGGGAAGAATATTTATGGCTTAGAGGACCATATTAATTAGAGATATAATTCTAAGGGGAATTCAATTTTATCTTACATAGCACTGAAAGGATTTCTAAGCCTAATATCTTCTTTGACCTATTTATTTTTAAAAAAGTTTAATATAGGGCTTATTTCATCTATTTGGTTTGAGCTATTTGGTTTAGCTCAGGCCATGATTTATATGTAAGTGAGTTTTGAGTTGAAGTTATCCATCTCCTAAACCCACAATCCTGTCTTTAACTTTCTTCTCTGGAATTAATTCTTAGATGAATATATTTGATTAGTTTGAAAACCAAAATATTGATTTGAAGGCAGGCAATTAAGTCATTCCAGACTTTAGATGAATTTGTTAAACTGTAAAACAGATTACATTATTAGATGCTCTTGTTTGGTTCACTGTAGTACATTTTATTAGAATACTATGGAGAATGAGAATAAATGTTCAGTTTAATCATTAGATTTATTGGGTCTTTTTTATTTACCTATTAGCTATGCAAAGATTGGCTCAGCATAAAAGTATTAAATAGTGCTGCCTCTGCCATAGGCAAGAAAATTAAAAGTATTTATAACTAATTTTGTTATTAATAGGGGATGAACTGTTTATTACTTTTTATAAGTCAAGTAACACCAATATGAAAAGTTATTTATATTTACTGTAGTCTAGTCATTTAAAAATCTGGGGAGAATTCAATATGATTTTTTTAATTAAAAAAAGTCAGCATATCTTCTGTGAACTTAAGTGCTGAAATTGTAAATCAAATTTGAGTGCTCAAGATTCAACCACTTTGAAAATGAAAAGCAAATGTGTTTCTCCAAAGAGTATTGAAAGCAGTGATTGTGAGCTAGAATTTCACATTATTATTGGTTGGATTTTTCAAGTATATACAATAAAGTGCTTTTTTCCGTCTGCTGAAACGATTAATTTACTGTGATTCTGCAAAAATAAGTTATACGTTTCCTCTTGTTATCAAAGGTAATTTTTAAATTGTTTGTTTAATTGGACTTTGTCCAATGCATTTTAAAAAATTATTCATGTACACTGATAAGAGTCTGGGTTGCTTACTCAGGTTTCTGGCAGAGTCATGCTGATCACATTCCATGGGCAGGCAGAGAGTCAGCGGGTAAAAGAGAAACAATTTCATCTGCATTCCTTTCCTAGCTTTGACATTTGGGGTAACAGGCTAATGACTGTGACTCTGATATTGTTCATTCCAAAGATTTGTCCAGTTATACACCTTTACTTACCCTATTTGTTCTATCCAAAGGTTTGGCATTGGTAGTTATGTCATTGAAAGAGTGTTTGGGTTACAGACACAAGATTAATTCCCGTTTCATTTTATCTCTTTATGTTCTCAGAAGAGCTTAGATAGTCTTGATTATGTTAGAATAGGTCATGTAAAGTTTGTGCCATTTTTCTAGGTTCACCAAAAAATAGATATATGTACTTCAGTAAGCATTTATCTTTTAATGTGTGTTACATAGGAACATGCAACTTAGGAACTTGGTTGGACCTCATGATGGTCAGGGGCTTTGTTTTATTGGTCTTTGTTATTTCAGACCTTGGTATATTACCTGAGGTATAGTAGGTGCTCCATACATGTTTGCTGAATGAGATGGTAGAAGACCTAAGATCAGAACATGTGTCTTTGTAACTTAGGAATAAATCACCAGAGAAAAGCTGAGGAAATGAAGGGAGCTATTAAATCTGATGATGCTCATTAATTGAACTCAGGTCAGAACATCATGATTATCTCTTCTGTACAAATGAATTGATAACTGTCAGGAAACTCATCAAGGAAAGAGGAATTTAGGTGGGTGTTCTGACATGGAGCTTAGTGTTTAAGTGGAAGGAAGCAATCTTATACTTTCAGGTAGTCACCAGGCCATAGTTCTCAAACTTACTACTCTCATGACCCCTTTATGCTCTTAAGAATTGTCAAGGACACCCCTGGAGACTTTGTGTAAGTGTGTCTTATCTATTGACATGTACCATTTTTAACAGTAAAACTGAAGAAATTAAAAATATTTGTTAATTCGTTTTAAAACTATGTTATATTTTAAACATATAACATTTTGTATTTTATTTTTAAAAAGTTTATTTTTTTCAAACTAAAAAATTAAAGAGTGGCATTATTTTACATCTTTACAAGTCTCTTTGATAGCTAGCTCAATAGAATACAGCTGGAGTCTCAAATCTTCTTGGGCAATATATTGCAATATGTTGTGTTTTTGGCTAAAATATACAAACAGAATCCATCCTTACACAGATATTTTAAGTTGGATAATAGAGAAATAGTTTGTCTACTACACCGGAAGTTCACAGTGGCAGGTTCTTAAGATTTACTTGCGGTGTGGAATATGAAACCCTGTCAGATCTGTTACAAAAAAATACGTTGATCTTGCATTCGTCATGAATTTTTTACCTATTCCTGATTTAGAAATATCAGGCATTGATCATTTCAAACTTGTCGGTGTAACTGATAAGGAATTTATCATAAAAGTCTTTAATATACGACTCTCAACCTGTTGGTGATGGTTAGAAATTTTCCAAATTTGAATTTTTACTTGAAAGCTCAAATTTCGCTATCAGCAACATATATTGTTGTTTTCCTGGAAGTGTCAGGCTTCCTTTGTTCATGATAAAAAGAAAAGATTATGCATACTCAAATATTTAAAAAGAAACAGTTGTTCTTTCAAGTAAAAATGGTATTCCACAAATCAAGTGGCTAGTTCAGCTTACAACTCAATTACACACATGCATTTATTTGAGAAAATCACAATACATAGGTACAGAGTAATGGGTCTTTGTGCACATACTGCTCTGTGTCACACAGGATTTTGAAAAGACATCAAAGTTAAGTCCAGATTTGATAACATTAATACATTTTCTGTTTTCTCAAGAAAATTTCTTTACTTTTTTAAATGAAATTGTTTTGTTTGTTTATTTGTTTTACCTTGAGTAAGTGGTGGTGAAGAACACAGTTACTGCTAAAATACTTTGGATCTACTGCTTTGACTTGTGCTAAAGTACCACCAGTTTTGCCCACTATTGCTTTTGCACCTCTAGCATAAATGCCAACACAGTGAACAAAGGCAGAGGATGGTTTGCGTTATCATGAAAATGGTTTTGATTTTCCAGGGCTCCTTAAATGGGTGTCTGGTTTGCATGGAGGTTCATGCATGCTCCACAGTGAGAGAACCATTGGAGAACCATTGGTGTGGGTAGTGAGATTTTGGCAATTCAGTAAACAACCAGCAAAAAAAGAGCCACTTGAAATAATGTATTAAAAGTATGTTTGGAATATTAGGTAAATGGACTATGATTCATTAATGATTACAAATGAGTTTTAGCAGTCTGATAATAAATTAATTTATTTTCACAAGAAACTATTAAGATTTCCAAGAGAAATGATGGAGACATTTGTGAGGTCAGTTTTGGATACAAACATTAGAAATGATTGTCTTTCACAGGGTTTTGAATCACAGTTAGTGCACCTTAGATTAAATGTCTGTGTATCTTGTGTATTGAACCTCATAAGCAGAATACAGGCAAGAGAGCTGGGTATATAATAACTATTATTATCATAAAATTTATTGAATATTGCTATGTTTGGACATAATGATAAGTGCATAGTGATAAGTGCATTTTTAGGGATTTTATTTAACCCATACAATACTAATATCATTTGCATTTTATAGCTATGGAAACTGAGTCTCAGATAAGTTAAATAAGTTGCTTAAGTTCACATAGATAGAAAGAAAACCATA